GTGCGTGCTTCAGCGCAAACATGTACGCAAGCGCGTCTTTTGATTTCAACCAATCAGCGCCGACGCAAATGACGTCACACATGACAACAGCTAAGCTAAGTTAGCCGAGACGACACTCGAAGTCGGACGGACACGATTTTCTGCCAATCTGTGTTTTTCCCTTTTTGGCCAAATATATTTTTTACGACAACTGTCTTGTCCACGGTGTCTTTTATTCGTTCCACTGGGGTTTAGCAGGTGTGTTTATAAAGAGACGAAAATTGTTTGTGGACTATCCCCCACGTTCTAGTTGAGATGGTATAACCCAAGAGGCAAAATGACGCTTGCTACTGTTGTTGCGAGTTGCCATTCGTTCTACTAAACCATTAGTCAAACGCCGTCATGTCTTCTGTCGTTATTACACAAATAAAAATCTCTTTACTGTTACTAGTGTTAGTGCCTCAATATGGCTACGCTCGTGAAAGCAATACAACGAACTCAAACGCGTCTTCGTTCAATGTTGTCAACTAATATCCGGATTAATTTTATGCAAATTTTCCTCAATTCTCCTGAGAAATTTTCATAAAATTTTGAAAAACCCGGAAGTCCGGGAAAATCCGGAGGACTTTCATCTCTGTTTATTTTCATCTTATTTTGTTTGACTGACATTTAGTCTGAATGAAAAAAAATTCCTGAAGTCTTAACTCCAGTGTCATCTCATGGGAGACAACACGTGTGTCTGTTTTATCAACCAAAGCATGATGCTCCTGCTATATTCATTCATGCTTTCTGGTTAACATTTTGAATTATAAAGTTTTTACATGACAGGCGAAATCCTCAAAACTACATGATTGCTTTTTGTCAACACGACTGCATGGGTTTGGATATGAATTCGATATACAGTGAAACTCCTCTACAACGAAACCTAAATGGGTGAAAATACCCCCTAGTGTGAAAAAATCTTCATGCATTAACACCATTCCCACTTTCCTGCCCCACATACAACGAAAAAAAAACCCTGTTGTGTTATACAAAATATTTTTCTCTGCTCTTGCCTCACGACGAGATTCACTACTACGAAGTCTATCCAACAGCGAACCTCTACTGCTTCGTTCGGAAACGGCAACAGCAACCACCACAGTGGTTTACACATGCGCAGTAGTCCAGGAAGTATTTGTTATTTTTAGTTGCAGACGCAGCAAGAATGTTGCATTGCTAAAATCATTACACAACGGACCTTTGGATGTCAAGCAGCTAAGACAAGAGCTCTGACGCTCGAAGAGAGGGGAAAAGTCATCAAAATGAAAGACGGAGGAAGCAAAATAAAATACATTATCCAAGAAATTGATGTCAGGGAAAGTGAATGCTGATCGTAAATTTCACAATTACTTTCCCTTTTTTTCTTTCTACACTGACTACATGACGTGTCAAATAAGTGCATGCTCATACTTATGCCCTATTGGAATAAAAATAAAGAGTACACATACGTTTATGTGTGAGTGTACACATACGTTTGAGTGTGTGTGTGTGTGTGTGTGTGTGTGTGTGTGTGTGTGTGCGCGCGTGCGTGTGTGTTTACATCTGAGATCAAATTTGCTACAGTGAAAAACCCCCTGTTGTGAAAAATTTCTTGCTGCAAACATGATTTCGTTGTAGAGGAATTTCACTGTACAAGACCTCTCTAGAGCAGAAGGTGCCAGTAAGCTGTGACAGGCCCTTTTCATCAGCTAAGGTCATGTGCTTCCCCGTAAACAAGAGCCGATACAGAACGTTACAGTTGGTGTGTCTGGAGACACCTGAAAAGATAAGAGAGACCCTTCGTTCAGAGATAAAGAAAAGAAACAACAAGGACACTGTTGTAGCCATGACTGGCAATTTTTTTGCACACAGAAGGCCAGAAGTTGTGCAAGATGCACTCATGATTGGTCTTTTCAAAACAAAATGACCATCTCTCTTTTGTTAATGTGACCTACATAAATAAATGCACAAAGCTGGTTGTAAAATGCCATTTTATAATAAAAAGCCAAGTTGAGATGGAGAAATCTGATATTCTTTTGGATAAACAAGTAGTTCAAGTGTGCATCCTAGATCAGGGGTGGGCAACTCCGGTCCTTCAAGGGCCGCTGTTCTGCCTGTTTTCAATGTATCTTCTCGATGATCAGCTCACAATCCTGATCATCTAAATCAGGTGTGCATGGGGAGGGAGACATTTAAAACAGGCAGGACAGCGGCCCTGGAGGACCGGAGTTTCCCACCGCTGTACTAGATCCAAAGTGTGTCTTCTTTACAAAATTATTGTTTGTTACCTGCCCTACAT